GCCCGGCCCCCGGGGGGGGGGGGGGGCACCCAGAGTCCCAGGGTGGCCCAGGAAAGGTGCGAAGGACACCTTTCCATGTGGCCAAGGCCCACAGAAGTCCCTGGCCTCTGTGCCCCAGCCTCCCACGGTGGTCATCACACGCTCCTGGCCATGGGGCCATGAGGTGGGCAGGCCAGAGTCCCCTTTCTCACTACAGCTCGGCCAGGCTCATCAGGGATCCCGTCATCCTAGTGGGGGGACAATGATAAACACCTAAGTGACATATGCGGTGTGTCAGATGGTGACAAGTGCAAGAAAGGAGGAGAGGGGGTGCAGGGTACAGCAGGTGGGGGTCTCTTTTAGTGTTGTCAGAGAACACCCTCCAGTCAGGTGAGGCTGAAGCACACGGGGTGGGAGCCGTGCAGACATCTGGGAGGCCGCAGCACGTGCAAAGGGCCTGAGGCAGGAGGGTGCCTGGCTGGGTGGATGGTAGGAGTGAGGGCTGATTGCTGAGGTGGGGTCAGGTAGTGAGGGCCTGGTAGCTTCTGTAAAAATTGGCTTTTCCTCTAAGATGAGAAATCTTTGGAGACCAGACCTGACTTGTAAAGGGCTTTTGATTGGGCGCTCGTGTGAAAATAGACCCAAGGGCCCTGGCCGGTGTGGCTCGGTCGGTTGAGTGTCGTCCCATGCCCAAAAGGTTGCCAGTTTGATTCCCAGGCAGAGCACATGTCCAGGTTTCAGGTTCGGTCCTGCCCCAGTCAATGTTTCTCTCTCTATCTCTCTTCCTCTACCTTCTTGTCTCTCTCAAATTCAATAAAAACATTTTTTTTTAAGAGAGGATAAAAACCAGCGCAGGAGGTGAAAGCAGGGAGGTGGTGGCGGCTCTGGGCGGTGGTGGTGGGCGGATCTGATGCAGGCTGTATGTCTCCAGAGCAGGCCATGCTGACCACCGTGGTCTCTCCTTTGCAGAACTGGCTGCGACTCTACGGCTACCTGCCTCAGCCCAGCCGCCACATGTCCACCATGCGCTCGGCCCAGATCCTGGCCTCAGCCCTCTCCGAAATGCAGCGCTTCTACGGGATCCCGGTCACCGGCGTGCTTGACGAGGAGACCAAGACGTGAGTCCCTCTGTCGGGCCCTTCCCAGACGCCCCCGGCCCCTGCCCTCCTCCTGGCCTGCTCTCGGGAGGTCTTGGCACACGGAGTTACCAGAAAAGCGTGGTCTCGATAAGAGACGACAAATAGTTTGATCCTCTGTGCTAGCTCTGATTGGTTGGGAGTGGCTGCCTGAAGCCTTGTGTTGAGAAAGCTCCTGAGGCCAAATCCCAGCTTGGCCACAGGAGCACAGGATAGATGAGTGATGTCTGCCATCACTAATAGGAGTGGAGGGAACCGTCCCATTCCTGGGTGATTCTCTGAGAAGGGGCCCACCGATGAGTGATGTCTGCCATCACTAATAGGAGTGGAGGGGCTCGGTAGCATGCATGCCTGGGATGGGACAGCATCGTTCGGCTTTGCTCCGAATGGGACAGAAGGGAAGTGACCCAAAGCCACATCCTTGATGAGCACGCACAGAACGTAAGGACCCAGGACAGGAGGCCTCAGGAGTAAACCGTCCCATTCCTGGGTGATTCCCCTGAGAAGGGGCCCACGTTTGCGGAGGCCTCGCTGGGCATCCAGGCTTCCAGGACATGATCATTGTACCTGTTTTCCTGGTGAGGGAACTGAAGCTTAGCTGGTCTCCCACCACACCCTAAGCGGCAGCTGAAGGCCAGAGGTGGGAGGGTGGAAGGCGGTGGGCTGCCTGGAGGAGGCTGTGTGCTCACCCCTCCCCGCCCGCGAGCCAGGTGGATGAAGCGGCCCCGCTGTGGCGTGCCGGATCAGTTCGGGGTGCATGTGAAAGCCAATCTGCGGCGGCGGAAGCGCTATGCCCTCACGGGCAGGAAGTGGAACAACCCCCACCTGACCTTCAGGTAGGGACCCCAGCTCCCCAGGGTGGCGTCCCTGCCAGGGCATTTCCCCATCACCTGGTCTGAGGCTTCAGGCTTCCCAGTGGACTTGTCTGGAAGGTTTCCTTTCTCAGCCCCCCCCCCCCACCCCAGGGTGCCCAGTATAGACAGTCCAAACCCACTCTGGCTCCCACGCTGACCACGGCTGCACACCCCAGGCTGTCTTCCTCCTGAGAAGGTCAGGACCCTTGGAGCGGCTTCCGCTCTCTCCTCCTTCCCTCCCCCGGTCTTCCCCTCCCTTCCCCCCAACCAGCTGCCTGGCTTGGCCTCACTGCACCGGCACACACTGAGGGCCTCCACAGTGCAGGGATGGGGTGTCAGGCACCTGAGGGTGGGGGAGGAGAGGGGGCCGGAATCCAGGCATCTGCTGGGTGGGCAGGCAGGCAGCAAGTCACCTGCAAAAACCCTCAGGCACCCCCCTCCTTTGTGCTGAGTCCTCGGGCAAGAAACGCCTTGTGGCGGTCCCCAAGGGCTCCTCTTCCTGTGTCTGTCCAGCCACGGCCCCACCAGAGCTCCGTTGCCCGAGGAGGAGTAGCTCCCACGGCCTCCGAGACCCCAGGCCCCCAGTGAATTCATGGTCCAGCACACAGACGCTTCCTCTGATTTAACGAGTTCATTCATTTCACCCTCCCGGGGACACCATGATGAAAGCACTAACCTTTACCCGTTTTACAGACGAGAAAACTCAAGTTCAGAGAGATAACTCACTTGCCCAAAGTCACACAGAAAATGGCCTTGAACTCAGGTCAGCCTGACCTGGAACCCAACATTCAGAACCGAGAGCCCGTGTTCCCCAAACCTCAGCCATTTGCATTGCTCTTTTTGGGCACCCTCCCGGGGACACCATGATGAAAGCACTAACCTTTACCCGTTTTACAGACGAGAAAACTCAAGTTCAGAGAGATAACTCACTTGCCCAAAGTCACACAGCAAATGGCCTTGAACTCAGGTCAGCCTGACTTGGAACCCAACATTCAGAACTGATAACCCCAAACCTCAGCCATTTGCATTGCTCTTTTTGGATCTTTCAGCTACATATCCCCTGTACATTCATTTACTTAACGTTTTCTTCCAGAAAATAGGCATATTTGGCACCGTGCAGCCTTATGTGGGAATATCCTAATGAATTCCTGGTTTTGACATGTCTCTTTTTCAAATCCACCTCCCAGTAAACTAATGGTTGAAATTTCAGGCATTGTTGTTAAGTCGATTCAGATCTTTTCTTTTTTTGGAGACAGAGAGAGAAACATCGATCGGTTACCTCCCATACATACACTGACCAAGCGTCAAACCCACAACTCGGGCATGCGCCCTGACCAGGAGTCAAACCAGCAACCCTGCAGTGCATGGGACAATGCTCAACCAACTGAGCCACACCGGCCAGGGCCCAGCTCAGATCTTACGCACGTACCTTGAGACCATGTGTCCTGGCCTCCAACCCAGTGGGTGCCAGCAGTGGGCAGGAGCCCCCGGCCCTGGGTTCACGGGCCTGTCTCCCCGCCCACCTGCAGCATCCAGAACTACACGGAGAAGCTGGGCTGGTTCCACTCGCTGGAGGCGGTGCGCAGGGCCTTCCGCGTGTGGGAGCAGGCCACGCCCCTGGTCTTCCAGGAGGTCCCCTACCAGGACATCAGGCTGCGGAGACAGAAGGAGGCCGACATCATGGTCCTCTTTGCCTCCGGCTTCCATGGCGACAGCTCACCCTTCGATGGCACAGGCGGCTTTCTGGCCCACGCCTACTTCCCGGGCCCTGGCCTGGGCGGGGACACCCATTTCGACGCAGATGAGCCCTGGACCTTCTCCAGCACAGACATGCATGGTGAGAACAGCTGGCCAGGCGAGGGCAAGGGAGGCAGAGCTGGGAACGCAGGGTTGGGAGGGGAGAGCACTGACATTTGGTCTCAAGCTGTTGTCCCACCATCTTCGAGAGGTGGGAGGGAAGAGAAGGGATCATTGTACCCATTGCTCAGATGGGGAAGGTGGAGGCCCAGAAGTCAGAGCAGCTCAGCCTCTTCTAAGAGTGAAACAAGGGCAGGCTCCCTGGCAGCCTCAGCCCACAGTCCAGGGGGCCAGGTCCTGGCCAGGCCAGAGCTGACCGTGCTGCTGTCCCACCTCAGGGAACAGTCTCTTCCTGGTGGCAGTGCACGAGCTGGGCCACGCGCTGGGGCTGGAGCACTCCAGCAACCCCAGCGCCATCATGGCGCCGTTCTACCAGTGGATGGACATCGACAACTTCCAGCTGCCCGAGGACGACCTCCGGGGCATCCAGCAGCTGTACGGTGAGCGAGCGGCAGGGACACGCTGGTGGCCTCTGCACGCCTACCCTCAGCCCAGCCCCACCAGGCACAGGTGCTACTGCTGTCCCATTTTATAGGCGAGAAACTGAGGCCCAGAGAGGATTAGTGACTTGTCCATATCACTCAGATGGTGCTAGAAATCAAACCCAGAACCTACACCCAGAGCCCAACAGTGGCTCCTGCTGGAGCCTGCGGGGGGTGGGGGTTAGGGGGTGGTTCCATCTCTGACCCCCTCTCCTCCTAGCTTCAGTGATATTCTTATTGACCAGAGGTTCCAGGACCCCATTCCTCCTACTGTCTGTCGCTCCCAGCCCAAACCTGTCCTGGATTCTCTGCTAATATTGTCGGTTTATCACTTCCCAGTGCCCTCAGGCAGGAGGCACCCCCCACCCAGGTCCCATCCAGGCCCCAGCGGTGAGGGCTCCTGAGGGCCAGTTTGCTGGGTCAGGGCCTGCGTTCCGTGCCCACGCCAGGCACCTCACTGGTACCGGCAGTGCCCACCTGGCTGGGCACATGGCAGACATGCCTCACTGTATCCCTAGCAACCTGGTAATCAGATGGCACTTGGCAGGGGCTGCAGAACCATGTTCCTGCCCCTGTGTGTGTCCCGCGAGCCTCCAGTGGGGAGGTCGACGAGGGGGCTCTATGGAGAAGGATGGGGATCCTCCTGAGGATGGGGGTGCGGGGAGGGGGTCTGTGTGGACAGACAGGGCCTTTCACCGGGGCAGGTCCTTCACCTGGGGCACGGGTTTTTCAGGCTGGGCCTGGGGTCCCTGGGTTCTGAGGAGGACAAGGCTGGGTTCTGGGGCCTCCTCCTCACTTCCTTTTTTTAAAAAATATATTTTTATTGATTTCAGAGAGGAAGGGAGCAGGAGAGAGAAACATCAATGATAAGAGAGAATCACTGATTGGCTGCCTCCTGCACGCCCCCTACTAGGGATCAAGCCCGCAACCCAGGCACGTGAAGGCCAGGCCCCCCAGCCCAGCCCCGAGCCACGGAGCGGCCTGACCAGTATGGCCCCAACATCTGCGACGGGGACTTTGACACGGTGGCCATGCTGCGTGGGGAGATGTTCGTGTTCAAGGTCTGACCCGTGCCCATGCCTTCCTCAGCCCCTTGGCCCAGACTCAGAGCCCGAGCACCCCACCCCCAGAGCCGTGCCCCACCTGGCTGCTCGGCACCCCCACTTCCTCACTGAGCAGCCCTGGGAAGCCAGGAGACTAGACGGCGGAGCCCAGCCGAGGGATGAGGGATCTCCCTGGAGTCCTGCAGCAGGCCCAGGGGTCTGCCCCTTCCGCCCCTTCTGCCCCTTCCGCCCCTTCCGCCGAGGGCTCCCCCTGGTGCTGCCCTCAGGATCTCAGTGCCTGCGCCAGACCCACCCTGGTCCAGCCAGGGTTGGTCCCAGGTGGTCCCTCTCCCAGGCTGAGGCAGTGCGCGGAGCCCAGCCGAGGGATGAGGGATCTCCCTGGAGTCCTGCAGCAGGCCCAGGGGTCTGCCCCTTCCGCCCCTTCTGCCCCTTCTGCCCCTTCCGCTGAGGGCTCCCCCTGGTGCTGCCCTCAGGATCTCAGTGCCTGCGCCGGACCCTCCCTGGTCCAGGCAGAGGTGGTCCCTCTCCCAGGACGAGGCAGCGCACACGCTCTGCCCACTCACACCCCCGCCCTCCCCAGGGCCGCTGGTTCTGGCGGGTCCGGCACAACCGCGTCCTGGACAACTATCCGATGCCCATTGGGCACTTCTGGCGAGGTCTGCCCAGCGACATCAGTGCTGCCTACGAGCGCCAGGACGGCCGTTTTGTCTTCTTCAAAGGTGAGCTGGGTGGTGGGCGGGGCTGGGCCCAAGGAGGAAGAGAGCGAAGGGCATGGCACCCATTGGGCAGCCCCCTGATCACCTATGTCCCAGGGCCCCCCCTGAGCTTCCATGAGGCAGCAGCTCCCCCAGGACAGGGCTGGGCCCAAACCAAAAGTGGGGAGCCCTGGACCGTGTGCTGGGGTGCCCCAGGGAACAGTCCCCAGACCCAGAGGCCAGGCAGGGGTGCATGTTCACCCGAGGAGGAAGAGAGCGAAGGGCATGGCACCCATTGGGCAGCACCCTGATCACCTGTGTCCCAGGGCCCTCCCTGAGCTTCCGTGAAGCAGCAACTCCCCCAGAACAGGGCTGGGCCCAAACCAAAAGTGGGGAGCCCTGGGCTGTGTGCTGGGGTGCCCCAGGGAACAGCCCCCAGACCCAGAGGCCAGGCAGGGGTGAATGTTCACATGGGAACGCAGGCCCTTAGATGTAGTGTGACTGGGCGTGTGGTGTGTGTTCAGGTGTGAGCGGTCACATGCGTGTGTGTAAACGAGTGTGTCACAGTTGTCCATGAGTGCAGAGTGGGTATGACACAAGGGTGAGTTGCCTTGTGTGTTGTCGTGGGTGTGGGTGTGTTGTCGTGGATGTCAGTGCCTGTCCTGTGTACAAGGGTGTGAGTGTGAGTGTGTGTGATTGTGTGTGTGTGTGTGTGTGATGAGTGTGGCAGTGGATGTGAACGGATTTGTGAGCCCAGAATAACCTTCCTGTGCCCCCGCCCTGCGCACCCCTTCAGCCCCCAGCCCTGTTCTCACCACCTCCCGCTCCTCCCACAGGCGACCGCTACTGGCTCTTCCGAGAAGCGAACCTGGAGCCCGGCTACCCACAGCCGCTGACCAGCTACGGCCTGGGCATCCCCTACGACCGCATCGACACGGCCATCTGGTGGGAGCCCACGGGGCACACCTTCTTCTTCCAGGAGGACAGGTGAGTGCCCTCCCCGGCCGGGAAACGCCCCCCTGCCCCCAGGCCCACCCAGAGAGCACCCCCGACCAGTGGGGACCAGACTCCAGGCCCAGCGGGCCCACAGTCTGCGCTTTCGGTCACAGGTACTGGCGCTTCAATGAGGAGACGCAGCGGGGAGACCCCGGCTACCCCAAGCCCATCAGTGTCTGGCAGGGGATCCCCGTCTCCCCCAGAGGAGCCTTCCTGAGCAACGATGCAGGTACCAAGGCCAGCACCCTGCCGTCCGCCCGCATTCACCATCCCCTCCCCCACACACAGGGGGCGGGGCTTTCCGAGGCCATCAGACATTGTGATGACATCTGTGGGAGACAGGGTTGTGTCAGGCCCCGGGCTGCTAGGAGCGTCTGGCGCATGACCCTCTGGCCATCCCTGCATCCTCACCATCCCGGCTTACAGACGGACACACTCAATCACGGAGCTTGAATAAAGGGCCCCAGACCCCACAGCGAGGAAGTGGTGGGGTCAGGAGTCCCACCCAGGCCCGCCCATGTCCAGCACTGGCGCTCAGAACTGCCCTGCTCGCCAGGCAGCCTCGAGCTGGGCTCAGAGCCATGGGATGGGAGTCCTCCCCGGTGCCCACTCACCTCCCTGGAAATGGAAGCCAGATCTCTGTCCTTATAACCGAGCGACAGGGAGCTGTGGCTTTTGTTTCTCCAGGGTGGTCTCTGGCGGGCTTAAAAGAGCCATAGTCCTGGTTCTTAGGTTCCCTTCGGGCTTTGCCATTGCTCAGGGGATCACCCCACTTCTGTGTGTGATGCCAGCACTCTGCAGCCCTCTCATCTCCCTGCTCAGCAGAGAGTAGACTCACCCTGTGATTCTGGCCCCTCCTGGGGCTGACGGGACGTGGCCAGATGCCCAAGGCCGGAGAGCCGGGCCAAGGCAGGAGAGCCGGGCCAAGGCAGTGCTGGGCTCTGCGCCAGGTCCGCTGCAGGCGGGCTGTGCGGCCTTGAGCGAGACACTGGCCGGTCTCAATGTGGGGTGAAGCCAGACCTGGGACCGGGGACAGGGTCCCCTGATTGAGCCTCCTGCCCAGCAGGCTGCAGGACCCTGCCCCCTGCACTGCCCTCCTCGGTGTCAGCCCCGCCAGGAAGCACAGGTGACCTTGACCCAAACCCTGCCCCTCTCTGCAGCGTTTGGGTCAAGGGCACCTGTAATTGGGAAGAGGCAGATTTGAAAATGCTCAGGGAAGCAAGTAAAAGGAAGTGGTTTTGTGTGCTTTTTGTTGTGATTCATCCTCACCCGAGGATATTTTTCCATTGATTTTTAGAGAGAGTGGAAGGAAGGGAGAGAGGGGCACATCGATGTGAGAGAGACACATCGATTGGTTGCCTCCCACACGTACCCAACCTGGGGCCGGGGATTGAGCCCGCAACTGAGGCACGTGCCCTTGACCGGAATCGAACCCGGGACCCTGCGGTCCACAGACCGGCGTTCTCTCCACTGAGCCAAACCAGCCATGACGAAAGGAGGGTGTCTAAAGCCAGGCCCCGCTCTGACCCCTGCCTGCTTGCCCCGCAGCCTACACCTACTTCTACAAGGGCACCCGATACTGGAAGTTCGACAACGACCGCCTGCGGATGGAGCCCGGCTACCCCAAGTCCATCCTGCGGGACTTCATGGGCTGCGAAGAGCCGGGACCCCGATGGCCCGATGTGGCCCGCCCGCCCTTCAACCCCGACCCCGAGGC